CTGTTATCCATTTCCTTCTTCCTTGCTTGAGAATCATCCTGTTGCCTCGATGCTGATTTTGTTCGATTTTGTCATTAAGGTTTTAGTTCTAAAGATACCAAAAAGGCTACCAATACTCCAGAATACCGGTATGTAACACTAGGAACTTGTACAATAAAACCAAGTCATTTTGGTACAGCTCCCGAGCAGCACTAGAAACAAACCCAATAATGTATTTGATTTGATGGTGACATAATTGATAATTTTTCATTAACTTCAAGCTGTGTGTTATCCAAGATATACCGCGGATCCACTGTTTTCTTACACCATGGGGTAAGCCTTACATGTACTTGTAGTTTTCTTATAGTATCGAAGAGTTGTATTTTGTTGGAATAGATGAACATTCTTGTTAAATATACTTAATCAGATTTACATTATATTTGCTTGTACACAACAGAGCCGTCAGCAAATAAAATGGTGGTTGGCGTTGTATGATGAGGAAGATCGATAAAAAAGGAATCAAACAGGATAAGCCCAAGACACTTCCTTAATTAAGGCAGTGGGGCACACATGTGAGTACAGAAAAGGATGAAGAATAGGAAACTTTCAATCTAATTTTCTTCTACCTCCCCTTATGAAGCAAACTATGGGACAGAGAGTAGGCTACCCCCCCGCCTTTGTGTTGGTCATTGTTACACTGGTATCTCAGGACTTCTTTTCAGACATCAAGGGGGTGTGTTAAGTGACAATAGGCTGGAGTGTGTATGGGGATTGGACTTTTTGGGGGGAAGTGGGGGGGGGGGTTGTGACCCCTCTGTCCTATTTCATGCCTGGTATATACCTCCCCGAGATAAAAGGATTTACGTCACATCGACCAGGAAACATAAGAGGAAACCCTTATCCACCTTTTTTGCAGCTATGTTTTTCACCAATGATAACACCTCTGGATATCCTTTTTCAAAGCTTCTAATGAGGGGCATTTGCTGTTCATTTTCATTTTATCAATGTGAAATCTGGCAACCAAAAGAATAAGATTAAGGCATTTATGTCTAGTGCCAACAACACCGAACAATAAAAGTTAATTGTCTGTTACAAGGTGTATCTTTGTTTTGTCCTTAATCCAGTCTGCTATTGAGCTCCAGAAAGAATTGACATCTTTACAGTTGCAAAAAAGCTGGATAAGCGTTTCCTCTTTTTTTTTTGCAAAAGGTGCAAACATTGGAATCCAAAGGTCATCCACAGAGAAATAACATTGTTATCGCTCCACGAAGTGACCTATCTGGATAGTTCGCGCTTTGCGCTCATAAAATATGACGATGAAATTTTAACGAAGTGGCATATATGGTTTTGGCGCCTAATTTTGACCCAGTACTAAAAATTCTGCCCAACAAAATATCTCATATATTAATTTAACTGTCGAACTTTATGAAAATACGAAATCTGTGTCAATAAAAGTTAGTACAGTGGGGGAAAAAAAAGGTCCAAAACAGGCCCAACTTCAAACGCGTTTTTCTCGAAGTGTCAAAACCTGATATAGGTCAGATGGTGGTACGACCGAGGAGATGTGCCTTGTACATGCTGTCGTTTGTTTAGATATATTTTCCCGATTTCCATATCAAAAGAGATTCTTTTTTTAGATATACAATGGCGTCTTGTTATTAATTAACGAGTAGTCAGTTCCTCCATCTTGTTGAAAAAAGTAAGGACGAGTACCAGACACCAAACATGAACCAGTCGCGTGCAGAAGGCCGATAAGTCTAGAGTTTATAAGAATTATTAATATAGTTGTAGTCGCAGAACTTGTTTGGTTTCTTAATCGCGACATTAATTTTTTGAAGGTAACCCTGTCTACCACTTTTGTTGTTTCGCACAACATTTCCTAAGTTGAGAGGGGAAAATGGAATTGGAACCACTTGTGGATGACTGGGCGTGGATACTGCTCGGAGTGCGCACGTTTTTATCGTTCGTGGTGGTTCTTTTTGTTCTTAGGTGGTTCTTCCGCCAACCGGAGAACCTTCCACCGGGCCCGTGGATGCTCCCGCTCGTCGGGTGTCTCCCGGCGCTTGCCTGGGGTCTAAAGCGAGGCCTTCAACCCCACCACGTGTTCGCAAAGTACGCCGAGCGCTACGGCACGGTGTTCCGTGTGGGTTTGTTCAATAAGACGGTTGTCGTTCTGAATGATTTCTCGTCTACCAAGGCGGCTTTCCAGCACCCGCAGCTGAATGAGAGACCATTTGGAATGGGAAAAGGTAGGCATCGGTACTAAGTCTCCTTTGTCTTCTCTATAAGCTGCTGTGACATTATAGGTATGCGTAGTTCACATATCTTCAAAGCATTTCGGCGTATTATCATTGAATTTTCCGACTGAAGCTATTAAGAATTCATGCATTTAACATTTGCCATCAAATGGTGGTTCTGAGAGCAAGTCCGAGCAATACTTAAAGTAAGCTAATGATCTTCGAATGCAACTGATAACAGAGTTTTCTAGTTCTTGCGTACCTGAGGTTAGAAGCCATTCCCCATCTGCCTTCTATCATCAAGGTGAAATGATATCTCTCAGTGTTTTCTTTACCTCGTCACTCAGTTCTGGTGAGATGTCTAGAGAATGTGGAAAAAGGCAAACATTACTCAATTTTTTTAATCTGGCAAACAAAGTAGTTTTTCTAACTACCGCCCTATTGCCCTGAACTTCATTTCTTGTAAGATTGTGGAGTCCGTTAATGCAGATAATATCAGAATTCACCTGAATGCATGAGAACATGTCATCAGCTAGCTGTAACACAGAATTTTGTAATTTACATGCAAACCTTGACAAATCTATACTGTTCCAAAAATATTCAATGTACCGTCGTTTTAGACATTGACAAGGTCATTGGTGCTTTTCGTCGGGATATTCTGTTGCGAACGTTAGCTCTAGAGTGCAATGTAGCTGGTCGATGTGGCGTAAATCCTTTTATCTCGGGGAGGTATATACCAGTCACGAAAGGGGACCGAGGGGTACCCCCCAAGTCTAATGCCCATACACACTCCAGCCTAGTGTCACTTAACACACCCCCCTTGATGTCTGAAAAGAATTCCTACAACGCCAACCACCATTTTATTTGCTGACGGCTCTGTTGTGTACAGGCAAATATAATGTAAATGTGAGGGATGTCATGTATATCGTACATATAATCGTAAGTATGCTGGTGTGTAGCAACAGCGCCATCATGCGGTGGCAAGGGCATTCCTCATGTTTGCCGTCGCCTCCGCTGTTGGCCTGTCTACTGATGAAATTTAAGTAGCAATAACACCAGCAGAGATCCGAGCCCGGGTGTTCTGGTGTGCCTGTTAATGCGCAGCCCCCACTAGATAGCGCCCCTCCCACATAAAACTGATTAAATATACTTAACAAGAATGTTCATCTATTCCAACAAAATACAACTCTTTGATACTATAAGAAAACTACAAGTACATGTAAGGCTTATCCCATGGTGTAAGAAAACAGTGGATCCGCGGTATATCTTGGATAACGCACAGCTTGAAGTTAATGAAAAATTATCAATTATGTCACCATCAAATCAAATACATTATTGGGTTTGTTTCTAGTGCTGCTCGGGAGCTGTACCAAAATGACTTGTTTTATTGTACAAGTTCCTAGTGTTACATACCGGTATTCTTGAGTATTGGCAGCCTTTTTGGTATCTTTAGAACCAAAACCTTAATGACAAAATCTAACAAAATCAGCATCGAGGCAACAGGATGATTCTCAAGCAAGGAAGAAGGGAAATGGATAACAC